GTTAACATGGGAATTTTTTTGTCATTGTAATGCTCTGTGTTGTAATCTGAATCTAACACAAATCATTATTACCATTAGAGCCTTTTCCCAACTATTTGGGGTTTGCTACACGAATCCTAGTCAGTTAATCTGCTCTATTAAGGGCCACATCTTCAGTGAGGCCATAAGTCCGCGTATCTTTTCTCACTACTTCCGACCGTGTCTTTTTGGGCCTACCCCTTGCTCTTTTGAGCCTTCCATTGAGACTCTTATCAAGTGTTATATTGGGTCTGCCAAGGCGTACCCAAGTCTACTTTCTCTCATTCTATCGCCTATTGGAGCCACACCTAAGTTCTCCTAAATGTATTTCATTTTGAATTCTATCCCTTCTTGCTTTGCCATTCACCATCTCAACATCCTCATCTCAGCTACACTTATCCTATGGGTATGTCGTTTCTTGATCGCAAACATTCTGCCTCATAAACCAAAGCTAGTCTCACAACTGTCGTGTAGAACTTTCCCTTCAGCTCATCGATATATGGCGATCACACAAAACTCATGTTGCACATCTGCACTTCGCCCACCCAGCTCTAATTTTATGTGCGACATCTTCTTCAATCTCTGTATTTTCTTGCATTGTCGAACCAAGATATCAAAAGTGTGCTCTTTTTGGTATTTCTTGGCCATTAATTTTAACTACGTCCTCATCTCTACTCCCATTATTACTAAAATTGCATTCAATATCTCTGCCTTAGTCTGACTAATTTTAAAACTTTCAGATTCTAAAGAAGACCTCTAAAGTTCTAACTTTGTGATGGCGTCGTTGCAAGTCTCATCAATCAAAACTATGTTGTCTTTGAACTTCACACATCATGGTACCTCATCTTGTAGGTGCCTAGTCAAGTCGTCCGTAATTAAGATAAAGGTATGGGCTTAACATTGACCCCCTAATGTTGACTTGGTGTCACTGAAAACTCACTCTCTCGCCACTAGTTATTCGCACACTGGTTAGTGCTATCTCGTTCATATCTCTCACCAAGTCAATATAGTATATGGAGGAGACTCCTTTCTTTTTTTAACACCCAACAAATTAAATATCGAGGTGCTCTATCATAAGATTAATAAAGACCATGTGGCGGTCTTTCTCCTTCGCCCTAAACTTCTCAATCAGTTGCCTAAGTAGGAAAATAGCCTCAATTATTGACCTCCCTGGCATAAAACCGAATTGGTTTTCTGATATGCTCATTTCATGCCTAAATCTTTGCTCAGTTAGTCTCTCCCATAGCTTCATAGGTGGTTCATAAGTTTGATCTCTCGATAGTTCGCACAATTTTGTACGTCTCCTTTGTTCTTGTAAGTAGGTACCAAAATTATGTGTCTCCTTTGTTATTGTAAGTAAGTACTACAATTTTGTATGTCTCATAAGTTTGATCCATCGATAGTTCGCACAATCCTGTATGCCTCTTTTCTTTGTTCTGAAACGGAATCGCCACCTAGGGTGAGAGATTCCAGTAACTATGGTATGCATTCTCTCCCAATCTCTTTAGAACATGACAATTCCCAATGCGCCTAAACTTCAGTTTATGATACTGCCCTTGAGGAAGTCTTTCCTTCCGTCGGTAAACCATAGCTAAATCACTCTAATTAACCTCTTTTCGGCACCTGTGTCAATCAACAGTCTCTTTGTAACACATTGTGTTCATGTTAAGCTTTTGTCACTGGAAGTCTAGAATGTGCTCAGCCCAAGCCTCTGCGTCATCACTAACTCGTTCCACATTAGACGAACTCACCAAATCCAATACCTGTTTCAGGTTTCTGCTGTGAACCTCTTTAAAAGGTGATCGCTCTGTGGTTCTATTTCTGGTATTGTTATACATGAACTCAGCTTGAGGCAAGAACAAATCCCACTGCTGCAGCGTCCTACGAAATAATGCAAAAGTTTGCCTGAACTCCTATTAACTACCTCTGTCTGACCATCTGTTTGAGGATGGTACACATTGCTAGACTGGAGTTTTGTTCCCCATCTTCCACTGCAAGGTCTTCCAAAAGCTGCTCATAAAGCTTGTATCTTGATCTAAGGTGATAGTTTTGGGAACATCGTGAAGCGAACATCTTTAAAATACCGATTGGCTTCTTGCATAGCATCCAAAGTGTAATGGCAAGCTATAAAATGCACCATCTTCAAGTACCAATTAACTACTACGAAGACAGAGTTCATTCCTTGGGTTATTCATGGCAGTCTCACTACAAGATCCATATTCATATCTTCCCAGGGTTGTCGTGGTCCCGGTAATGGACTGTGCAACCCGATGTTCTGAGTCCTTTTGCGAGCTGGCATATACAGCATCTGTTCACATGCCTCACAACATCTCTTCTCTATTCCGGCCAAATATACATGTTCGCCAAGGTTAAAGTACTGTCCTTGCCAAATGACCTCCAAGTCCAGCACCATGCAATTGCCATATTTGAACAAAAAATGACACAAGGAAGAAAATAAACGAAGTAAGAAATCAAAAGAAACTAGAAACGGGAAAGTAAATGAGGGTAATGAGGAATTCTGCTTTCAAGACAGGATTTTAGGGAGCGGGTTTGGAGAGAGGACAAGTACAGCTTCTATTTTTCTCTTTTTCTGTGGTCATGAGGGAAACAATTGTTAGTTGAAAATACCTCTTTTTGTTTGATGGAGCTCTTGATCCTGTATGGAAAATATTAACTTGATTTGCATCTGCCATTTGCTTTTTGTTTTCCAAGTTCCACTACATCTTGTTGCTACAAAATATTGCTTGGAATTTGTTCATGTGTTGATTTCTATTACTTATTTGCCTGAAAACCTGTTTATCTAGTGGAAGACATAGATTATCAAATTTGGCATAAAATTTTTGCCTCTTAAATAATCCTTCATCGCCTCAGATATGTCAATCTATCTATTCAAATATTAGAAATAGTAAAGGTAGTTCAGCGGTAGAAATTGAAGTTGGGACAGTATCATAACCACTATGCAATCAAGCCCACATGGGTTTTAACATTTTTGGATTTTTATTGTGGTTATTTTTACTTTTGACTGTATACATATGATATTGAAATTAGCTTAAATGTGTGACATCATTATCTGTAGTTGGCATGTTCTTTTGTGGTAGAATTTTTAAAAGGAATATTATGTATACTGGGTAAACTGAGATACAATTATGACCATTTTCTTTTCTTCCATAATCAAAGCGAAGTGTATGGCACATTTTTATACTTAAATTATGTCTAGAAAAATATAAAGATTCAACGTATATTTTGAAAGAGAAAGGGAATATTACAATTACTATAATGGCTATTTTTAATATGTATAGCTTGAACTTTACCTGGAGTTCTCATCTATTCTGTCCAACTATACTCATCGAAAGATAAAAAGCAGCACTAACCATGCTCTTATGCCCTCACAGATATGTTGTCGATGCAGCAGACCGAGATAACTTGCCCATATCAAAAAGTGAACTTCATGACCTGCTTAGCAAGCCTTCTTTGCATGGGATCCCGTTGCTAGTACTGGGGAACAAAATCGACAAACGTGAAGCCTTTTTAAAGCAGGATTTAATGAAACAAATGTGAGTTCGTAGAGAACCATTCCATTCTCATTTTGGCCTTTCAAAGCAGAATCCAAAAATGCAAGCATTTGCAAAATTGATTATGTGGGTAGTATATTTATATCGCTTGTTTGTGATATTTACCCCCTGAAGAATGTACAATTGAATTTTTCTCAAAACACAAATGTTTCATAGGAACCATTGCACTTATCAAGAAAGTTATTCATGAAGGAAAAGATTATACGGTCTACTGGATCACCTAATTAGGTGGTCTAGCCCCCAAAAAAACGTTAGCGGGAATTTTTTTACTTGAAAATTTCCAGACCATCCTTACCTAGAGAACAATTCCCAGAATAAGGAAAATGACTTTTGAGCTCTTGAAATTGTAGATTTATTGACCCGAAAATGGGCAGTTTGAAGTTAGTCTTTGAGGGTGAACTGATTTAGAGTTTTTTTTTAGCTCGAAATTATTATTTTTTATGGAATTAACTGTGGGGGTGAGTGAAGGATCTGAAAACTCTCAGGAAAAAATAAGAACCCAGTGTCTCTGGGGGACTCAACCATGTGGGTGGTCGGTACTATGATACACAAATGCTCTTCAAAATGTGTCTGAAGCATATAGCATTGTTTCATTGAAACTATATAGTTGTTGAGAGAGAAATATATGCATTGTTATAGAAATGGTGATATAACGTTTTTGTGGTGTAGGGATCTCAAGTCTATTCAAGATAGAGAAGTCTGCTGCTTCATGATTTCATGCAAGAACTCAACCAACATTGACTCTGTTATCGAGTGGCTCGTCAAGCATTCAAAGACAAAGAACTGATAAGATGTGCTTCCTTTATTTCAAGATTGTGTCATTTCACACCATGGGTCCAATGTTCTTTTAGGTGCCTTTCACCTAATTCAGGCTGCTGATCATCTGACCCTCTCTCTCTATCACTCCACCCTCTGCTGTTTGCATTAAACCAATCACTTTGCATTTTTTTATTTATAACTTTATTCTTGTGATTAGGTTCTGTAATTTTGGGGTCTTTTCCAGTGGGAGGTCAATTTGGGTTACTGTGGTAAGAGCTCTCTGTTGGAGCTAGACATATTTGGTTTATTATGAACTGATGGTTGGTGTGAATAGTATTGCGTTCTAATTTGTGTTCATGGTTTGATTTGTTTGGATGATTTTATGTTCCAAAATTTAAGTATTGATTTCATCTTTTTAGGAGCACATAAAATGAAAATGAATGTTAAGGAAGCATTGGCCACGATACCTGCTGATGTCTGTAAACGATTTGGACATCTGGGTGGATGTTGGAATTTCTTTTCCAACTTTAGAAAATATTTATCAGGTTTTAGCAGCTTCGAAGCTAATCCAAGGGCAGCAACTCCTTCATCGATAACTAGTTGGGTTACGTGCGGTGCACGTGAAACAGAATAATCATTTAGTTAAATTATAATATAAATATATAATGTATGAATTTTTTGTTATCGTGAAATGAGCGCATGATTTTGCAATGGGTGATCAGGTATGTATATATCATTTTATCATTTTAATAAAAGAATATTAAAAAAAAAAATGTAAAACACGAAAATATTATTTGATATCATGAAAGTACAACGTGCATGATGATTAAAAAATAAATAAAAAATGGAAAACAAAAAAGTATACTTGCATGAAGCTAATTTTATAGATTTTGATAAGGGAAAATTACATGTTATAGTTTTTGTTATTACGGTTCTATTGAATAGTTTCTGTTATCAATATCGTGTTTGTTTTTTTTATGTTAAAAAGAAAATTTAAAAAAAAAATGATTTTACTTTTTTCAACAACAGAATTCAAAATATTTTTGGTTGTTCAATATTTGAAAATACACCAATTTCGGTTCTTGAAGAACCGAAAAATGTTTTCTCTCGTGTGGCGTATTTTTTTTACCTCATTTTTCTCTCTTGTGGCGTGCCTTTAAATTTAGGAGAAATCTTAGGGATTATGAGATTAGAAAATTAGATTTAGGAGAAATCTTAGGGATTATGAGATTAGAAAATTAGATTTAGGAGAAATCTTAGAGATTATGAGATTAGAAAATTAGATTTAGGAGAAATTTTAGGGATTATGAGATTAGAAAATTAGGAGAAATCTTGTGGCGTATTCTCTCTCTAGCTCTTTGAAGTCATGGTTATTCGATAAAATCAAAGGGAAAAGCTAGTTTGAGCCGGTAAATTTAGGAAAAGACGTCGGGTGAAGGGGAGAGAGAGTTTAAAACAAAAATAAAAACTTTTTTACCCATGTATTGTAGAGAGAGAGGTAGAGAGAGGATACCCAGAAGAGAAACAAAATTTTGGTTCTTGAAGAACTAAAAATTTTAAATTTTCGGTTATTCAAAAACTGAAATTGACCCCGTTTTCGGTTGTTGAACAACCGAAAATATTTTGAATTCGGTTGTTCAATAACCGAAAAAAGGTAAAATCATCTTTTTTTAAAATTTTCGTTTTGACATGAAAAAAATAGACACGATAGTGATAACCGAAACTATTGGTAGAGCTGTAACAATGGAAACTATAACGGATATACATGTAATTTTTCCTTCTGATAAATATTACACTACATAAATATGAACATATGTTATTTGATTTCATGGAAGTACAATATGCATGATAATAATAAAAAAGAAGAAAGAAAAAAAATGTAATATGCATGCATGGAGCTAATTCCATTGATTATGGCAAACAATAAAAAAAATTAAATTGTTATTTTACTATTTTTTTTTCCACTATTGCCTCATACATTTAGAGAGTAAAGAAATAATTGTTTTCGGTACATGTTATCGAGAAGCCAGGGAGCGAGGGGGATGGAGGCTTCTTGATTTCCTATAACCAATAATTGGGAAGTTGTTTCGGCTTCTTAATTTCCTATAATTGGGAAGCTGTTAAAAAACGAAATGGCAGTGTAATTACCTCGCTCCAAGGAGTTTAGCACTTTATGACAATTTTTAATAAAATTATGGATATTATTGATAAAAAAGAAATATAAAAGAAGAGATAACCATTCTGTTCTACAAAGTAGTCATATAACCTCCACTTATCAGAAGCAAAACTTCATTACCGAAAAGACCCTATTATGTTTTATTTCGCCATTTGCGGAAAAAACCTCTTTACTCTCACTCTTTCTCTATTTTCACTCGCTTACTACCAAATTGAAGACCTTAACTATAGGAAACCCAAACCCTATGAATAATAAGACTATAACCTTTAATCAAAATGAACATAAAGAATTAATTAGTTACGCATTACATAATAGTAATATAAAAATAAAATATAGCATAAAATGACGCTCTAATATATTATATTATATTATATTATTATTAATATAATAATTATATATAACCATAATAATATAAATCAACTATATAATACAAATTATAGTATAATTAAATTAATATATAACAACATAATATAATTAAGCATTAAAACGATAAACAAGACCAACAAATATTTTAGAAGTCGCTTAAATAATAAAATAAAAAATAGATTTTTATTTTTTATTTCTTATTTCAATATTAGATTAAAATAAAATAAATTTCATCAGATAATAATATTTTAGAAGTCGGTTGAATAATTAAAATAAAAAAGAAAATTGCTTAATTTGTTTTCTTTTTCTAATGTTATAATTAGAAATGAAAGCATAAAATATTGGGAAAAAGAAAAATAATACACATAATTTTGAAAACTATTTGAAAAGTCAACTAAAAAAAATTTAAAATTCTTCAGAAGTATCTCCAGAGCATGAAATTATGTACTTATAATTATAGATTTCTTCAGTCTCTGTAAAAAAAAAAAACGAATTGATTTATTTTTCAGTTAAGACAACATATTTTTTTTAAATCTTAAAAAAATAAAAAATCATAAGCAATCCTAAAAACTTTTGAGAGCACAATGCTACTTAAATTAAAATATTGAGAGTTAAAAGAAATTGGGGTGGTTGTTTGAAAAATTTATAAAAATAAAAACATAGAAACAATTATTTTGGAAATTGTAAAATTTTTATCCATAAATAAAAAATAAAAAGTACAAAACCAAAGAAGGAAATACTTAAAATATTGAGTTACAAGTTTCGAAAAAAAAGTAAATTATTCTCTTAATGCACAAAGAATATAATGAGAGACTAATCAGAAGCACTGATTAAATAGAAAAAAAGATCTCTTAGGGCAAGTTTGGATGTCAAATAAAAGGAATTTGTTGTTCATAAAAATTGCAAGTTTTTCAAATGCCAATTGAAAAAAATACAAAGCCTTTTTTTTATTCTTATAAAGTCATTTGGGTCTTACACGAGTATTTTACTTTAGCCCCTACTATGGATTTGTATTACTCTGTCACAAATCTCTCGCCTCACCAAATGGTCTCTCCCTCCTCCCTTGTTACTTCTCCTACTCTCTTTTCTCTCTCTGCACATTTTGGTTCAGTGTATTAAGCTTACCCTCGCTCCAAATGTAGGGTTTCCATTTATTCTAATGAACCCTAGGGTTTTCTGCAAGAACTTATCCGTCTCTGCAAATTTGGGGTTTGTGTTATTTTTTATGAACACTGGGGTTCTCTGCAAAATAATTTTTTGTTTTTGCTGAAAAAATAGAGTTTCTGCTTTCATGGCTTCGAGTTATGAAGAAATGTGGACTCTGATTATTAATCGAATGAGATATGGAGGTTGAACCATAAGAACCATTGAATAGGCCTGTCAAAAGAATGAGACCCTGAATTAATCATGGACCCAAGTTGATACAGATGCTTGGTGCCACTAAACCATTAGCAACACCATATGAGCTTCTTAGAGAGATAGAGAGAGCGAGAGAGTTGGGTAACAGGGTACTAGAGAGAGAGTTGGGTTTTTGGTTTGCAATTAGAGAGAGAGAGAGAGCAAGAGAGTTGGGTCATGGGTAAATAGCGAGAAAGTTGGGTGTGGGGTTCACACGGGGTGAAAGAAGGTGGCACTTTCATCCAAAAAATTCAAGTCTAACTTGAAATTTTTTGGACAATGATAACTTTTGCCTTGACCCTGCAGTATTTTTTCTTTCAATCTAAAAATCTAGCAAAATCATGCGGTTATCCAAATGGTTCAAAGTTGGTTTCACAATATTTTTGGATTGCAATCCAAAAATATTACAATTTTGGGTACATCCAAACTGGCACTTAGTCATTAATTAAGGGAAATTTAGAAATATTTATAAAAGAACAATGGCATTTTGGAAGTTATTATCCTGGAAACTTTATTTGTAGACTACATTATGAAATAACAAAAATACATTTTGTCTTTTAGTGATATTTACAGAATCACTCGTACTTGATGAACAAGATATCATAGAAATAACTTTTTTTTAAAAAAGATACCTTATATTTAGTAAATCC